CAATCTTGGATTTAACCATTTTAGATTCAATTGTTTTCTAGTGCAGCCTGACTATCTACAAGAATTGTGATATTCGAAGTACGAATCATTATAACTGTAACCATTATAACTATAATTAATAAAATATAATTTTCTGAAACCAAGCTTCACACATGCTTAACCCGTCAATGTAAATTGGCTATGTTAATTTTGTTTTTCACACTTTTGTTATATAAACTATAGACTTTCCCATATTTAGACTATAGCAGACAGTGGACTAATGCGAGAAGCCGGTAAGGTAGTTTGTCCGGAATTCCATGTTCTGAAGAACTAAATCAATTGTATAATAGATTTATTTTGATATTTATCTGTGAATAAATTTTTTTAAGAAAAAATACTTGTCATATGTATGAATATTTCAGGGCTCTATCTAAATAAAACCGCTACTGCAAAACCTATAGCAAGCAAACCTCTTATAAAAGCTAAGCAAATAGAATAGATAAAACATAACAATGAGAATACCAATAACAATTGGCTACTAATATGTATACAATATTTTATTATTTATTTTATTTATTTTAATTTACTGCCTGCCATAATTTAAATTTGCTTTGTTGTTGTTGATTTTGACATTTAAGAATTCTAATAGGAACGCAGAAAACTCGTTGCAAGATAATTCCCCACATAAAAAATGTTATGAAAATGCTAAACAAAAACCAAAACAAAAACAAACTCAAACACAAATACAAGAAAGAATATTAGTATTTATTGTTGTTTTGAGTTCTGAATTGTGAGTTTTGTTGTTGATTTTATGGGTTTTTTTGAATTTGAATTGCTCACCACAATACAATTTGTTGTATAAACAAAAAGCACACTGCGCGCAGGCAGGCCACTGTTCATATTGCAACAACAATGAAGGGCATCACTTTTGAGCTTTTTGAGCTTTCACACAAGCACACGAAATATTAAATTGCGGCGGCAAATGCCATGCAAAATAAATTTGACTGAGCAAGTTTTTAAGCTCATGAAGTTTTAAGGTGGAATGAATGATGAATCACCGAAAAAGTGACCGACTGTCGTTCGCCGTTGCTTATTAAAATAAACAACAACAAAAGCAATACGCTACACACAAACAAAAAACAATACTTGTATTGTTTTCTTCTTCTTCTCAGTTGTGTTGCTCTTTGTGCTGTTGTTGCTACTTTTGTGAGTTGTACAACAACAGAACAACGTGGCTGTCAGAATTTTGTAGTCAGTATTGGGTATTATTGTTATTGTTATTCTGGCTACTGCTTTTGTTTAACTTTATTTACATACACTGTATTTGCACTAACTACAGTGTCTACTATAAAAACAGTAACAAAATAACTACACAAACAAATGTGGTGCTTGCTGTTAATAATGTTTATTGTGAACAACACACTGTGTGAAGCTGTGTACTTATTATGCACTTATGGTACACAATTTGCCTACACTTCTAAATCAAATTCAGTGATATTTTATCTCAGTCAGGAACGAAATTTATTTAACCGAACCGTACGTTAAATACGTTTAGCCCAGGCATAATTTTTGTGAAAATCATAGTCGGTCGGAACTTACAAGCTACGAACCAATTTCATTTAACTTTTTCCAGAAAAACACATCGCGAAGAACCAGGAGCGAAGCACTGGGCAGTAAGAAAGCTGAGAAAAAGTTTTTTTCATTATTAAATTGTGCTCCTCTGCCATGTTTTATTTTGCATGTAGAATGAATAAAATCAAATGTTACCCCAACGGGAAATGTTATCATCATTTTTTCATTAATGTAGTGAGTCATATCACTACATGGTAATGAAAATAACCAATTACATTTAGGCCGTGTGCGAGTTCGAGTAAATTGAGGTGAAGTAAATTAAAATTTCCTAGGGATTTTTTGCACCACACTTATGTAAATATAATATTTATTTATTTATTTATTGCACTTATCTATTATTTTTGGTTAAAAGTTTTCAAATTTATTATTTATTATTTATTAAACAATTATAAAATTTTCACAATGGTAACACCTTATTTACTTAATTTTTATCTAATTTACCCTACACGAAATTCTGGTAAATACCAACATTCACTGACATACCGACATAATTTACTATTTCCCTCAATTTACCATTAATTTACTCGAACTCACACACGGCCTTAATATGCGTTATATTAGTCTATTAATATTATATTAATGTTGTCATCACGTCAGTAATATAATGCAATGCTGCCAAGACCAGATAAAATCGTGGGTATTTTCAAATCACTAAATAGGTTGGAAGAAAGGCCGCAGAAATGAAGATATACATTCATAATTTTACCGGAGAAAAAAAAATATGGCGGAAATATTAAATTTAATTTTATTAATTTTTCATTAATTTATATTTTACAATTCTACGAGTATCAACACTATTAATATTAGTTGTTGCCATATGAAAAATATAATATTTTTATTGTAATACGAGTTTTTTAAACCAGTTTTTCAAAAAAATTTATATATACTAAAGTCTTTGTCAATTAGGTAAATTAACGTGAAGTGCAATAATTAATTTAAAACATTTTAATTTATTTGCAATACCATAAAAATAAAATAATGTAGTTACTAAAATATAACAAAAAAAGAGGCCTCATGTCGCGGGCATTTTAATCCTATTTGTGTGTATTTAAGGGCCATGTTATGCAGAAAGTCATGGACTCGTTAAATTTGTCTTTTTTGGGTTATGAGGAATGTACATGTTATGCAAAGTGTCACAGAAATTGTAATAATTTCTTCCTAAAATGTTGACACAAATGTTGATTTCATTATTGAATAACACTGCTTTGAACCCACATTTTGTTTTTTCTCTCACTCTCAATTTTATAATTTGCATGGAAACAACAACTATTTTCATTTTGACGAGCCCATGACTCCCTGCATAACATGGGCCTAAGTGTTAAATATAATATACTAATATATCCACCCAAAAACACATTTTTACTTCCGAAATTCTTCTAAAAATTTTGATATTTTGTCTCCGTCTACTTGTCCAAATTTTATTCAAAGTTTCACTCTTTCTCACTTAATAATAATTATACATTTGATGTGACCATAACTATATGTTTAACATCACTCTTACGGTATAAAAACAAATATTGAATCAAAGTAACCTTTGATTATATAATACAAACTGTTTATAGATATTTACTTTATATAAAATTTTACATTTTTTTTTTTGGAAACTCATGAACGAGTGAATATATCTCTTTATTCTTAAATATATATTTTATATATATTTAACAACAAAACTATTCGGTCCAATCAATTACAAAATTATCCGCCGCATTTTGCATTTTGCATTAATAATTAATTCAAATATACTCGCAAGCAGCTATATCTGACTTCTGATCCAAAAGTTTTATTCATAGATGGAGCACGATTCAGTAAGTCTATATATTTTGAAAAATTCACTAAATAAAAATAAATTAACACAGGATCTTTCTGATCCAATGGGTGAAAACAATATTATGATCTACATTAACAGGCCCGATATTGTGGACGAGGGAGGTGAGATAAGGAACACTGAAGAACCAATTGGACAAATGATACCTTTAGAAAATCTTAGGCTGAATCAAGTAAATAAATAATAAAATAAATTCTGACAACTAAAAATATTTTCTTGTAGCAATTAGAAGGCCATCTAAATGATATTTCTTACTATGGAGAGGGATATGATAATTTTTACGGAGCTTATGAGAGAGCAATGAGAGCAGAACAATTAGCAGGGAGGAGAAATCACAGAATCAATTTGAATGAATATATAAATGTGGAGCGTCCGTTTCCTGTTATAATAAATACTCCTAATAGACCCCGTCAACGTGATCCACCTCCTAAAAATTGGTTACTAAAACTGGTGAGAAAAATAAATTTTCAATGCATTGCTTTTGCACTGCCAGCGATTGCGGTTTTAGTGCTTATCGCACTCAAAAATCAAATTATCCGTCGTCAATAAAAATTGATTCTAGCGGTCCAATGCTTAAATGAGAGGTTACTTCCTGTATCGCAACCATAACTTTCAGACAACTTTAACTTTTTATTGAATTGTTGTGTAAGTGAAGAAGAATTTAATTTATTTAATTCAATTTATTTTTATTTTGGTTTACAGTTCCCATACTTTCAACGCTTTTATTGCTTTTAAACAAGTTTGACGAATTCGTTGAAAAGTTTATATATTCCCGGACTATACCCTGTTAAAGATTTCTCACCCTTTTATCCATTTCATGAAATCATAATATTGAGAACTGTGGGAGTTATCACCGCAATAAGTCAAGAATAATTAAGCAAATATTTTATATAGTCAATACCAAAAGTGAGTTAAAAGAACTACGAATTTTTTTTAAGAACGTTGCGATAAAGAGTTGGACTAAGACCGCTAGTATACAAATTTTTGTCCAGAATCTCAATAACTTAAACTTATGCATACACCGGAGATTTCTCGTAAGTTATGTGAAAAATATAATTCGTTAATATATTTTTATATTCATTCAAAAAGTTTTTGCGTTTATAGGAAATCTCACGTGGTATTTCACTTATGTACCTATTAGAGATAGATCCCTAAAAAAATGAAAACGACAGTCTGCTTAAGCCGTATAGAAGATATCTGACACCAAAAAGATTCCTCCTAATATATTGCGATGAAATCAAAAACGTTAAAACTTCATATTAGTCTCAGACTGACAGACTGATCCAGATAATACTTGCGCAGAACTGAGGACAGCAAAATTACATAGGACAACTTCACAAAAAATTAGATTGCCTTGGATATCCCAAAAAGATTTCAGTTTAAAAGGCTTAATACCCTGCAAAGAGATAAAGCAGTAATCGTGATGCCGGAACTACTATTTACTAATTAAATTTTTTGCCCCTCTCCATTGTGGAAATTCATTTAAATGGCCTTCTAAAACCTTCAAATATCAGACAATAATTTAATATTTACTAAAAACTCAAATAAATATTTCATGTTGATTTATTTTAATGCAAAACTAATTGAACTTATTAATTTCCACAAATAGTTTCTAGATTCTACACAAAGGTAGCTATATATAGATTATTTTATCATCAACTCTAACAATTTAATATTAGTTGTTGCCATACGAAAAATATAATAATTTAAATGAATTAACTTATGGGACTGGATACGAGGTTTTTGAACCAGTTATTCAAAGAAATATATATACACTAAAGTCTTTGTCAATTAAGTAAATTAACGTGGGGTGTAATAATTAATTTAAAACATTTTAATTTATTTTTTTGGGATAAATTAAAAATTAAATAATGTATTTACAAAAATATAACAAGAAAACAATGTTCATAATTGTGGTACATTAGAAACATGTCGCGGGTCTCACAAAGATTAGATGCGGGGGCATTATTAAGATCACGCATAAAACGATATTGTTTTAAAATCACAACTGTTATTACAGCTGTGGATAGTTAGTAGCTAATTTGACTCAATACGTTATTTGAGCTAAATGAAATGCTTTAATTGCAATTACTGAGGTCTGGTTAGTCTGATTATTTTAATCATAATTTAAGTTATAACTCTTATTAGTATTCAAAAAGCAAACCATTTAACTTTACAGCTTCATATAAGTGTATATCTTTTTAAATATAACACAAATATATCAGACTTAGCAAAGAGTATTCTTCGTCTAACTTGCAACAAATGAGAACGTTGAAATGTAGTAGCCTTTATGACTATTAGATGGTACTTCAAATTTTGCTATACACAATAAAGTGCTGCATCAAAACATTCGTTTTTGCGGTCATTCGTTTTATTTTCAAATGTGTACCATATTTACAAATTATTTCTAAAGCGAATACGAACGAATAACAGAAACGGTCCGATAGAATTCGTTTCCGCCGCATTCGTTTCAATGGAATGGGGGTTGATTTGTTCTCTATAATCGTTTGTTTTGAATTTTAAAATCAAATAAACAAATATTTTAGAGTATTTCAATCACTTTTAGAGTATTTCAATCACTTTTAGAGTATTTCAAATAATTCTATTTTTGCAAAGAAATATTTTATATATTTTGTGTGCGTTTGGTTGCCTGCGCAAAAGTAAAGAAAGTTGGATGTGCGTAGAGATTTGCAATAATTGCAAGAACAAAGTACGTAAATTAGGTTTAGTTTTCTATTATTTTCAATGCAAAAGTTGTTTAAACAGGTAGATCTAATGCAAAAGGTTAACTTAAAAAAACGGTTTGCGCAGAATTTCCTTCTTTGTCGATAGTTTTTTATGATGTAACAAAATAAATTGCTTTACCTTTTCCTGGAAAATAATTTTATGCATGATATGGTAAAAATATCTATTTATGACAAGAGAGATTTTTAGAAATTTCTTAAGAATTCCTACTTTACAAAGTTTCTTGTAAATTATTTGCAACACCAGCAAGTAGTGCATCTTCGGAAAGGGTTTTTTCAGTTGCTCGGAACTTAATATCAGAAAAAGGAACATTGATTTCATCTAATCAAAGATCTATCAATCAAATCATGTTTTACACAACAATCTTGAAAAAGAGGAATTAAGTCAGACGATGCTCAACATTTAATTTGAATATTAAATTAAATTTGTGAACTGTAAAAACTGTAAAAAAACTTATTATAATTTTTTTAAATAAATTTTTGTTCAAAATTTTTTTTATATTTAATTAATATATTAAGTCATATTATATATGTAATCAACAAATTACTATTATCAATCAACATTTTAAATAATATTTAATTAATAAAAAAACTTAAATAAATAAATTTGGGTCTTACTATTTAAAAACACATAATTTTTGTATGAACTGAAAATCAAATGCTTAGAGTACTCCCAACTACTTCAACTACTTTTAGAATGTTTAGAGTTAGAGTACTCTAAACAAACGAAACAAATATTTATTCTATTCCATTTTGTTTTTATGCCTATACATTCGTATTTGTTCGTTAAGAGTGAGAGTATGCTACCATTCTAAACACAATAGAATGCTTTGAAACTGAAATCAAATGCGCGCGTGCAGTACTCTAG